GCCATACATCAACAGCTCTGATGGTCATTCCAGAAAAAGAGTTACAAAATTGCTTTGAACTATGGACTAGGTGCTGGTGTCAGTGCACAGCTTCCCAAGGGGAGTACTATAGTAAAGGTGACTATAGTGATATTCAGCAATGAGGTACATAGCACTTTTTCTAGGATGAGTTCACAAACTTAATTGTCAGACTTTTTATATACCTTTTGACCCAGATAGTTCACTTTTGGAAATTGATCCTTCAGATATATTTGCACAGTATAAAACGACATATTTATAACTTCATTAATTATAACATTTTTTCTAGTAGAAAAATTAAATATTCATCTATGGGGGCTAGACAAATAAATATATTGTGATATACCCATTCAACAGAACACCATGCAGCTGTTAAAAAAAGTGAGGCAGCTTTCTAAATACTGAGATGGGAAGATTTTCTATTTTTATTAAGTAGAAAAAAGCAATATATGAAATGATGTCTATGACATATAATCTGTTTAAAAAAGAGGAAAAGCAATAAATATATATGTATACCTGTATGTATATACACATATATATAGAGTTTGCCTAAGTATGCATGAGGAAATACTGGAAAGATACACAAGAAACTAATAAACCTGATTATATGTATTTTGGGAAAGGAATGAAAACTGGGAAAATAGGGAAAGTATAGGCAAAAATGCAAAATAATAACAATATTTAATTATGTTCCCTTCTAATGTTATATTACACATAATTATAAATGAAGTATGGTTTAAAAATTAATTATTGAAATGTAAAATTCATTAAACAGAAGTTATTTTCTCTTATTTATCTTTTATGGATAAAGGATATAATGGAGATTGCTTAAGTAAAGTTACGTGGCTAATTATTGCTTTAACTGTTTTCATGATATTGACTGAAACAGATTCCTGTATTCTTTTTATATATTCTGTCCTCATATCACACTAGACAATCATTAGGCATTGTTTCTTTTCTCAAGTATTATAGGTGCTAACCTTTAGTTTCAAAGCCCATTTTTAAAAAGCCAAATTTTAGTAATAGATGCAAGAATCTTTTGTTTTACAAATTAAAAAAATCACAAGATGGATGTGTTTCTAAATTAAAATGAAATTAACTCAACCTAGAAACAACAAAAAAGAAAGGCAATTCTAAGTTCTTCAAGAAAGGTTTATTCTATCACTCTATATACATTAAAACGAGAACAATAAATGGTTGTCAATGTATAATTAAAACAAACAAAAAACCCAAAACCCAGGAGGAGATTATTCCATCTAGAGAATCCTTCTTGAAACATAAACGTAATAATGGTATAGTGAAGTCTAAGCAAGGTTTCCATTATAGGTGTGGTACATACTTGCAAAATAGGTCGTGGACCCATCTTGAATTAATTATTCCCCAATTAGGAAATTGATAAAGAATTTGAACGGTTGGCCTGGCACGGTGGCTCATGCCTATAATCCCAGCACTCTGGGAGGCAGAGGTGGGTGGATGTGACTGAGCTCACAGGTTCGAGACCAGCCTGAGCCAGAGAGAGACTCTCTGTCTCTAAAAATAGCCAGGCATTGTGACAGTTGCCTATAGTCCCAGCTACTTGGGAGGCTGAGGCAAGAGAATAGCTCGAGCCCAAGAGTTTGAGGTTGCTGTGAGCTATGACGACACAGCATTCTACAGAGGCGGAGAAAGTGAGACTCTGTCTCCAAAAAAAAAAAAAAAGAATTAAAATGGTTGATTAAGGACAATGAGCATTTTTTTCAGATGTTTGTTAGCCATTCATCTGTCTTCTTCAGAGAAGGTTCTATTCACGTCTCTTACCCAGTGATACATGGGATTGTTGGTTCTTTTTTGTTGATTAATTTGAGTTCTAAGTAGACCCTAGTTTTTAAGCTTTTGTCTGATTCAACATAGGCAAATACCTTTTCCCATTCTGAAGGTTGTCTATTTGCTTTAATTAAGTCCCATTTGTTTATTTTTGTTATTGCAATTACCATGGAAGTCTTCTTCATAAAATCTTGCCCCAGGCCGATATCTTCAAGTATTTTCCTCACACTTTCTTCAAGGACTTTCACTGCTTCATATCTTAGGTTTAAATCTGTTCTCCATCTTGAATCCATTTTTTTAAGTGGTGAGAGGTGCAGGCCCAGTTTCAGTCTTTTACATGTGGTTATCTAGTTCTTCCAAAACCATTTATTGAATAGGTATTCTTTTCCCCAGTGTATGTTCCTGTTTGGTTTCTTAAATATTAGGTGGCTGTGAAATAAATGCAAATCTCTATCCTGAGATAGCATCTCACCCCACTAAGAATGGTCCACATCAGAAAGTCTTAGAGCTGCAGATGTTGGCCCATGTGGATGTGGAGAGGAGGGAACACTTTACACTGCTTGTATTGTAAAACTAATACAACTTTTTTGGAGGAAAATATGGAGAATCCTCAGAGACTCAAATTAGACCTCCCATTAGATCCTGCAATACCATTACTAGGTACCTAGAAGAAAAAAATATCATCTTTTATCATAAGGACATTTGCACTAAACTGTGTATCATAACTCCATTAACAATCACCAAAATGTGGAAACCAGGAATGGATTAACGAGCTGTGGTATATGTATACCATAGAATACTTTATATCTTTTGTATTAACCTGAATGGAGGGGGAACACACTCTTCTTAGTAAAGCATCACAAGAATGGAGAAGCAAGAATCCAATGTACTCAATTCTAATATAAAGGCAGTAAATGAGCTGATACAAGGGGTAGGGTAGAGGAATGAAGTAGCAGGGAGAGGGGAGGAGGGAGTATGGGGGTTCATAGTGTATGATATAACTCTTGGGGGCAGGACAAAATTATAAGAGGGACGTTGAGAAATGCGATCAGTGTAGCCTAATTTTTTGTACCCTCAATGAATCCCAAACAATAAAAAGAAAAGAATGTCAACTGTTGATAATATTTACAAACCACAGAATATAATAGCATCTAATTCATTTAAAGTACATAGATTATAATTTTTTTTCAATTTTGCAGTTAATCTTTTTTTATTTTTTGTCTCCCTGGGTAGAGAGCCCTGGCATCATACTTCACAGCAACCTGAAATGCTTGGGCTCAAATGATCCTCTTGCCTCAGCCTCCCAAGTTGCTAGGACAATGGGTGCCCGCCACAATGCCTGGCTATTTTGAGAGACAGGGTCTCCTTGCTCAGGCTGGTCTTGAACTCCTGAGCTCAAGTGATCCACTCTCCTCAGGCTCCCAGAGTTCTAGGATTATAGGCAGGAGCCATTTTACAGTCAATTTTTATAGCAGATTTTAAGGAGGCACTAAGTACTCTTTACCAACAAACTATCTGTTTCTTTTAATTAAATCTTAAGCATTTAGTTACCAAATATTGACATGTAATCTACTGATTTCTTGGTTTAAAATCTGTGGAGTCAGTGTAGAAAGATATATTTAGTAGCTTCTGAATACCTTTACATTGTGAATAATGTTAATATACTGTTAATAATGTTCATATTTGGGGAAGGAATATCCAAGTCCTAGGAATTCTGACCCTGCTCAAATTAGCGGGGTATGATTCAATACACAGTAACATCAAATTTCTTTTCTCTTTCTCTTCCACCTGGTAGAGAAATATATGATAGAATTTTTGAGCCATCTAGCTTTCATCAGATGCAATTATAGAAGAGTCCATCCTCCTCTGCTTTAATAAACTGAGAACTTTCAATATTTGGTGTGCAAAGACTGAGTACATTTACACTATCCTGTGCTCTTAATTGTATTTCCTAAAAGCATAAACACACATAAATTATAATTTGATTGGATGGACTTAATTTCCTTTTTCTATTTGGTCTACATGCACCACCTGGTGGTAGAATAATGCATTTCAAGTGCAGAAGATTTTTTTTGTGTGTGTGTGTTCTGAGGGGCATATAACACGTGAAAGAGAATCTTAATATGTATTTCTAAATACTGTTTTAAGTTGATGACACAATTATTCTGCACCAAATAGCTAATACTTGAGCACTACTATATACAAGTACACAAACTAGAATAGGAAGTAAAGGAGAAAAGAATTCATGTTGGGAAGTAAAATCACTTTCTCCTATTTTACCTTAGTTATAAAACTTAAAATTCCAACTCTAAATTAACATTTATTTATTGAGCTAATGCCCTTATGGAGGCAAAAGTCAAGCATTGATAATCATGGTGAAACAATTTTATTAATTTCTAATTTTTAAGAATAACAGTTTTTAAAAGTATGAGTTCCCTTCCTTATATTAGTAGGCAGTATAAGTCACATGTCACAGAATTTTAAAAGTACAATGTGCCACAGAGTAATTTAGACTAGTACACTAATTTTATAAATGTAGCAGCTGAGATTTGGGAATATCATGTGACTTGCTCAAAATCATACTGTTTATTAACAATTCTACTCTAACTCAAATAAGAACCTAGGTTTTCTCACTTTAAGCCTAGGAATATAGGACTTAAAAATTATACTCATATTCAATGGTGAATTATCTCTACCCTTAATTCATCTATATAGTGCTTTAAGACATTAAGATGTGTGTGAATACATATTAGTAGTTATGTTCTACTATTCTGAGCACATAGGATTAATTAAAGAAATGCATGCATCATAAAACCATGGAAAAGATTTTTTTATTAAGAAATGAAATCCCTTTTATATATGTGTTCAAATGAATATTTTTCAAAATATATACTACTGCTATATTGTAAAGAAAATCTAAAAAATCCCCCTTCCCCCTTTTTCTGTTTAAAAATCAGAGATCTGTTTCTACAAAATAGGTACCCACTTGTAGATTTAAGCACAAACCATGTTCATAGCTCCCTCTCATGACCATTGAATACTATACAAGCCTCCTTTTATTTTCGCTGTTGTATTCAACTAACAGCTCACTGGTTAAGTTTTAATTGCTTCCAATGAGGTCAGCAAAGGTATTTATCGAAAAGCCCTGAATAAAAGGCTCTACACACACATACAAGCACACACGCTCTCTCACACACACAGAAAATCCTCTTGCTCGTTGATTTATGGAAACAATTATGATTCTGCTGGAGAATTTTTCAGCTGAGAAATAGTTTGTAGCTACAGTAGAGAGGCTCAAGTTGCACAAGGCAGACAACAGACATGGAACTCTTATATATCCAGCTGTTATCAACAGAACAAGTAAGTTACTGTTATTTGTTTTTAAAAACAATGCTGAATGTTTTCTAAAAGTTTATCTTTTTCTCTTGTTTTAGTACTGAGTGTAAAAGTAAAGCTACTAGATTTTTGAGCCATGTAAATATTTATAGTAATTATGCTGTAGAAAATAAAGATAATGTTGAAGTTTTCCAGAGCAATCTCAACATTTAACTTGAAAAATGTGGGAGGTTACGGAGAAAATAATTGATTAGCTACAAATGTAAAAGCATATAATAAAGAAATCTAGGAAAAGCATTCCTATCTTTTTAATAGTATTTGCAAAACTCAATTTAAATCATAGTTCTAAGTGCAGGATGTTTCTCACAAAATAGCAACTGGAATGAACGATGCAGTCATATTCTGATTTGTGTCTACTAATGCATAACTTTTATAAATCTACACAGAGTGGTAAAGATATTGACATCCTCTGTGAAACCTGTTTTAAATGTATTGTCCAAGTATAAAATACATAGTATGTTATATATGATTTACCCACTGAAATTTATACATGCAATTTTTTATCTTCCTCTCTCTTCCTCTCCCTATTCCTAATCTCTCATTGCAAACAGAAATCCAGTAGCAAACAGCATCTCAGCAACTGAGCTTATTACAACCTGTTTTTATAAGGATATATCAACAGAGAGTTATTTAAGGAGGAATCCTGTGTTGTTATCAGGAACTAAAAGGATAAGGCTAACAATTTGGAAAGAACAACTACTCTTTCTTAAATCAATCTACAATTCACAGATAGGAAGAGGTCAATGACCTAGGATTAACAATCAAATCAAGATTTAATTTTCATTATGTTATTCATGAACACCCGGAGCACTATACTATAATGCACAAATGGATACAGACATGGATCCTGCCAACTTTGCTCTACAGATCATGCTTTCACCTTATATGTCTAGTGGGTACTATATCTTTAGCATGCAATGACATGACTCCAGAGCAAATGGCTACAAATGTGAACTGTTCCAGCCCTGAGCGACATACAAGAAGTTATGATTACATGGAAGGAGGGGATATAAGAGTGAGAAGACTCTTCTGTCGAACACAGTGGTATCTGAGGATTGATAAACGAGGCAAAGTAAAAGGAACTCAAGAGATGAAGAACATTTATAGTAAGTAATGTTTTTTACTTAAAGCACTGCTTATGAATCTTAATAATTTGTTAAAGGGTCGGTTTTCAAGTGACATGCTTTCTCGGTTTCCTTTTTTTTCTTGGAAAATATAAATAAAATTTCATCTGTAATTTCTGTAAATTGGTATAGTTGAAATATATCCTTAAGAATGTCTCCTAGAACAGGGAAATCTACTTATAGTTGGAACTGATAACCCAAGCCAACTAGAAAATGTAATACCTCATGCTCTCAAAGTGGTTATCAGTTAAGCAAAATGCAAATGATATTATTCACACTGAAATATGATTTATTATTTTCTAGCAAAACTAAGCTCTAGTATAGTGCTTACTAAATACTCATCAAAACTACTTATTGGTAGTTTGACAAATTGAGAATTTATTTTTATTAATTTGATTTCCTTTGAAAGAATATTTCCATGATACAAAATACTTAATCTATGCTCAAAAATTCATTCCTGCGCCATTGTGTATAGTTATAAAACAGAAGGGAATATGTGGTATCCTCATCTCCTCATCTGTTCATATCATAATTAACTTGTATTAGATTGGTTTATTATCAACATAGACAAAAAAGTAGATTTCTCCTAATATTTTCTTTATCTAAAACTTCTGTGTCATAAAAGTTCTATGTTGCCTTAAGAAAAACATAACCTTGAGGAAATAAAAGTGAATTAGAAGAGATGTTAATTCCATGATTTTCAATTTAAAAGCATTACATTCCCCCCAGTTATTCTTTTTGTTGAAATATCAGAGTTGTGTCTTTCCATTAACATTTATGACTAATAACCAATTTTAATAGTATAAAATTTAATGGTATAAAACATATGCCTTAACATTTAAACTAGGGTTTCATAATCCCTAAGTAAAAATAAATTTTGTTCAGACAATATGAATATCATTTAAAAATATGTATGCTAAATCCAGCTGAAAAAGAAGGCATAGGATGATAGTGTAAACATGTGCCTATAACAGTGGCAAGCAAAATTTTTGTTGCCTGTTTACTAAGTGATTCGGGGGTCTTAAACTAATCAACCAATAAACAGGAATTTGGGATAATTATGTTTCCAATATGAAAATGAGAGGACCTTTTAAAACATAATTGATAAAGAATGTTAATGTCATTTTAGTGAATCAACAGTTATGGTTTTATTGTTATTACTATTATTAGTAAAGGTATCATGTTAGTCCTAGAAAATTGTTCTGATTATCCTCAAGTTTAGCTAAGGAAATGACTATTTGGAGGAAGTTTTGTGAATATCCATTTTAATGTGAGCAAAATAATTTGGTTTATAATCTATTCATTTAAAGATTACTGAGATTTACTATGGACATTATAACCTGGTAGAGATGACATAGACTTTAGGACAATTTCTTATCTTTTCCAAGACTTAATTTTTTCATATAAAAAACATGGGATATTTCCAGATTATTTCCAAGATATATTACAGTTTTCATAGTTTATTCTATTTTAAACCACAGCCTATGTTACATAAATATAAACAAACCTAATTGCCCTTTATACAATCATCTCACACAAGGGAATATTTCTCAAAGGTAAGATGAGCTTAGAGCTAATTTAATATTATGGTAATAAAGTTACAAAACTTAAACACTGTGGAATTCTTCTACATGTGCTGAGTAGTTGTATTTAAATGCTTTGACAAAATAATGAAAAAGTGAAAAATTATATGTAAAATCCAGTGAAAATGAATAGTGCACAGTTATTTAGGATCAAAAATATCTGCAATTGGAATGCATCCACATACATGAATTTTATTTTGTTTTTGTTAAAATTTCTCAAAAGGACGAAACTCAGGTATTTGTACACATATCTGAAATACTAAAATTATTTCATAGTTTGAAACACAATTTATTGCTAATCTTGAATAACCATAAAGCCAATTTGGTAAACTATTTCTCCTTTAATATTAATTCTACAGAAAAAAGAAAGAAAAAGTCATCCAATATTATTATAAATTAGATTGTCATAATATCAATGTACTAAAAAGACATGATATATGTTATGCAAATAACCATCACTTCTATAAGCTTTTTCATAGGTTGGATATATGGTATACCTTCTTGATAATGGTAAATTCTCCAGAAGGGGAAATTTGCATCAAAATCTTTTTAGTAAACAAGTTGTATGGCTATCCTATTGAAGAAGGATCCAGTAAGAGTTCTCTGAAGTTTAAAAGGGGATAAATGCTTTTATCTATGTGAAATCCTAAGGTACAGACAGAAATACTCCAATAAAGAATATATGAAAAAATAAAATATTCAAGGAAAATTCTGATAGCCATTTTGTATTATTTAATGGGTAGACTTAATAATTGTAAGAGTGAATATCCATACATAGATGTGCTAATTGACACATGTGAAGTTGAGGCTGCTGTATTAGGAAAGCAAGGTACAAATAAAATGCTCAGCAAAACTTGTTTCAAATAATCAAAGAGGATGAGAGACTTGAAATCATAAATTTAAAGACTGCTTAATTCCTCAATTAATAATTGAATGAATGAGCAAATGAAAACAAGATGTTTCCTTCCTATTTGATTTAAAATGAGAGTAAAAGCTAATTGGATTGCCATTAGATTGAAACACAGCAAAGTTCAGAAGATGGTAAACAACAGAATCAATCTCTGAATTTCACATTCAATATTTTGATACTTTTAATTTTCTTTTTTTTTTGAGACAGAGTATCATTATGTCACCCTCGGTAGAGTGCTGTGGCGTCATAGCTTACAGCAACCTCAAACTCTTGGGCTTAAGTGATTCTTTTGCCTCAGCCTCCCAAGTAGCTAGGACTGAAGGTGCCCACTATAATGCCCAGCTATTTTTTTGTTGAAGTTGTCATTGTTGGTTAGCAGGCCTGGGCTGGGTTTGAACCCCCTAGCTCTGGTGTATGTGACCAGTGCCTTAACCACTGAGCTATGGGCACTGAGCTGATACTTTACATTTTTTAACAGGCTGTCAATCACCCTTCTTTGGCAGTCTTTTAAGATGGTATAATTTTAATGTCTTAGATGATAAAGCTTGACATAAAAGTAAGATGCCAGTGAAACACAATTGTTCTCTCCGTTACCATAGAAAGTTCCCGGTGTATTCTCATGGCTTTTCTTTGAATGAAAGAAAAAATGACCCAAGAATGTTAATGGGCTTCAGAGGACTATTAATTTCATTAGCAGAAGCACAACTTCCACACAAGAATGTGACTATGGATTAGAGCTAACAGGAGAGGTGAAAAATCTGGGTATATAAATCTCCTTCCAGAAGATAGATGAGGTAGGTGGATAGAGAGCTTGGAAGAAGAGAAAGAGAGTGATGGATGTGACTGTAATGTCTCATATCTTTAGGAAATTTTATAAAATTATTTAAGCTACCCTGGATGGTGATGTTCTCATATACTTTGGCTTTCCTTAATTGCTGTGTTTTCTTATGAAATATTCTAAATTTAGATTAGAATGAATAGATTGTACAAAGAGTGCACCAAGAAACCCAACAGAAGTAAGATTTATATTAGTGGACATATGCATATAAACAAGAACTAACTATGTAGATGGGGGAATTCATGAGTGGGTGAGAGAAGGTGGACCACATTTTTGATTCTTGGGAAGAAAGAGCTATTATTAAAGAACTGGTCCTAGGGACTGCCATTACTCTTACCAAGGTGGAAAGTGTTTCCTCTTTACTTGTTCTCTCTGGTGGCTCCATATTTAGCCTTACAGTAAGTTTATAAGCAATGAAACTGGTACCTAATCTAACTACCAATAAGAATAATATAAGCATAAAATAAATATTTCTTTAAAACATGCATTCAAAATGACCAAATATTCACATTTTTTACACAAGGAGAGCATTGAGAATATCATAAAGGGACTGGACATAAATAGTCTCAATACTTCCACTGCTGTTGTCAGGGCTCTCCCCTTGAGGACAAGGCCATAGTGTGAATTTAGATAATTCTTGGACCAAACTGCCTATCAGCAGCCAGAGGCAATCACTCCACACCTGACAGAAATAACACTGTTGTTTAAGCTGGGAATTGAGGTGCCGAATGAGAGACAGCAGCAGTGCACTGGGCAATTGATGACTGCCCTGAGAGACAGATGTGGAACAAAGAACCCATTCCCTCAAGATTATTTTCTTGCTTTGGTATCCATTTACTAAAAAGTTGTGCTCTTCCCAACAATAGTCAAAATTATCCACTCCTTTTAAGAAAAAATAATTAATTGTCATAAACCACTGGTCCAAGAGAAAGAATGCCTCACTTGGTTATAATTGAGCATTGTTAGTTCCATAGCAAAAAAAGGGTTAGCCATCCTGAAAACTGGCCAATGATTTGGCAATATTCTCTTTTGGATTGTTAGTCTGTTATGGGATATGGCCTAACAATTGGCAAAAAACAAATAAACACAGTGTTGCTGGATTTGACTTTGGCCACAAAACCTTCAGTGACTCAATTGTCAACAATTCTTTGGATAGGTTCCTATTTAGCAACAGTCTCTGCTAGTAGCTTGCAAATATACATATCACCTCTGAACATGGAGATGCTAAATTTTCCTATATTCCAGACATAACAATATAAGGACAATTCCTGCCTTTGAAAAATATACTATAAGAATGTATCTATGGATTTTAACTAAAATCCTAGAAATTATTGACAAAGTAGAATCCTATAGAACTGGTAACACACATTCTCCATAGTAATTTTTTTTCCCCCCGCAGTTTTTGGCCAGGGCTGGGTTTGAACTGCCACCTTCAGTATGTGGGGCAGGCACCCTACTCTTTTGAGCCACAGGCGCCGCCCATCTCTATAGTAATTTTTCAAGGCTTAAATTATGGAGGATAGATAAATTGTTGGAGAGTATGTTTGGAAATAATAGCTATTCTTTAAAGACTCTAATATTAAGGATTATTCTTCATTTTATAATCTTCCCCCTATTTTTGGCTATCACATGTGCCTAGCACTTATTGATT